GCGGGACGCGGAGGCGGCGGCGAAGAAGGCCGCGCGGGAGGCGAAGGCCGCGCGGGAGGCGCCGGCGGCGGCGGCGGCGGCGGCGGCGCGGATGCGGCGCGCGGCGGCGGAGGCGAAAGCGATGGAACCGCTGCGTGCGCTGGCGTTCGCTCAGTCGGTCAAGTACTACTGCTCCGTGTGCGAGCACGCCTACGAGACGACGTCGGACGCGAACCCGTTATGGACGCTCGCGCGCCACAGCTGCCCCCAGTGCGGCGCGCTCCAGTACCCGGAGATCGAGATCGACGACATCTCGCTGCCGACGGCCGAGGCGCGCGCGCCCGACGACGCGTCGACGCTGTCCCATGCCCAGGGCGACGGCGCGCGGTCGCCGCCGCGGCCCGCGGCGCTCGGCCGCGCGGCCGCCGCCGACGACGGCGAGGTGCTCCTCCGCGCCGACGCGCCGCGGAAGCGCAGCGCGCCCGACGACGACGCGTCGACGATGTCCCACGCCCAGGGCGCGGCGCTCCTCGAGCTCTTCGACCACGTGCGGAGCTGCCCCGGCCGCCACCAGTCCGCGGCCCACGCGCGCGTCTGCGCGGGCGCCAAGTTCGTCATGCTCCACGCGCGCGACTGCGACGCCGCGCCGGGCACCTGCGGCGTCGAGTGGTGCGGCGCGGTCAAGGGCCTCCTCTCGCGCGTCGTCTGCGGCCAGCAGGGCGACAAGTGCGTCGTCTGCGCGGAGCCGTCCGAGGCGATGGACGTGGGCGACGCGTCGCCGCCCACGGTGTCGCCGGACGCCATGGACGTGGACGACGCGTCGCCGCCCAGGGCGTCGTCGGACGCGCCGATGGCCGACGCGCCGCCGGCGGAGCCGCGCGTCGGTGCGGCCGCGCCGTCGCCGCCCCAGTCGACGGACCGGGCGTTCGAGGCGCCCACGGCCGTGCCGTCGCCGGTCCGCGCGTCGCCGTCGCGGGGCGGCGCGCCGTCGTCGCGGCGCCTCGCGGACATCACGATGTCGGAGAACGTCGAGATGGACTTCCCGCGTGACTTCTGCTTCGCCGACGAGCTGCGGCGGCGGGGCGACGCCGCGTGAAGTGCCGGACTCTCCCCCTTTCCCCACCCCCTCCCCCCCCCAGCGCGGCCGATCCGGCACGGACAGGTTCATCGACCCGGCTCGCGTGGTATGCGCGGCCTAAAGTCCACTGCACCCCTAGTCGCCGGGGGTTCTTGCAGCTTCGTCGGCGAACCCCCGAGTGCTGCGGCGCGAAGGCCGTGTTGTCGTAGACCCGCCGTAGGCCGTTGTGCCGCGCCGCGACGTGCGCCGCGAGCTCGCGGGCACGCCTCGAGCCTGCCTCGCGGCTGAGTTGCCGATCCGCCTTGGCGCTTGAAGATCTAGCGAGGGTACATTGCCTTGCAG